CTTGCTGTGGCTTTGGCAATCCGTCAATTGTATCAGTGCCATAACACAAACAGGTCTTACTGTCTCTCTCTCTGTCTCTTGCTTGCTTGCTTGCTTGCTTGCTTGCTTGCTAACGGCTGAGAGAGAGTCTCTCTCTCTCTCTCTCAAACTCTATCTCACTCTCTCTCACCACTTCTCTTAGCGCGATGTGCCTTGCTGAAGTGAGCTTGTCGACTCCGCATCGCTTCTCACAGCGGGACAGGAAGGGCTTGTCGCCTGCATCTGAATCTCACAAGTACTGCAGCAGCGGAAACGCTGAAAACGACACTGGATCGGGAAGCGGACTCATCAGGGCAGACAGAGCGGCTGCTTCTTGCTCGCGCATGGCTGCGTCGAAAACAATCTCGGCGATACGGCACCAAAGCTAGGCAAAGCCAAGGTTCTAAGCGTGCCGAGCCGCATCCTCTTCCTCCGGGAGGTCAGCTGCAATTTCCGAGAAGTCCCTTTCGCATTCAGCACTTGCAACACAGCCAGGAAGCTTGAATTTCTTACAGGCTGAGACGGTCATCATCACTATATTATGTGCAGCTCCCCGGATGGTGACTAGTGAAGGGGCAGCTTCGAATTGGGCAGGGAATGACGGGTAACTGGTTGGCAAGCCCGTCCTAATGACTATTGTCGGCCCTACAATCAAGCCATCGGTGACTCAAGCTGCGACAGCGTCTGTGCCTTGCTTCAGGCTCGTCACCGCCGTCCATGGCTCGATCGCAGAGGTCAGCGTGTAAACCCTATGTAAGAATGCATGCACGAAGAGGTGCGTGCTTTTGTCTGCGCATGTATGTATGTGAGCTCCATGTTACTTGTACTGGTTTAGAGTCCAGAGGATAAGTATACACATCAACATGTCACAAGTATAGACAGCATAGATAGTTACAGGTAGCTGCGCAGATGTACTTCCAACTGTCCTCATGAAGCATGGTGCCGTGATTGCTTCACAGATAAATTCGCAGATTGCAGACTTGCAGAGAACGTTGGAAATCGAAGGCCGTTCAAGACGAAAGAAGTCGCAGACAAAGACATGGCGGCCACCGGTATGCCACCAACTGAGGGCTCGCCCCGAATGTACACCGTCGCCACAACTACCTGTCGAAGTGGTAAGCATTCCTTCCCAGTCTCTTCGGCCCGATTTGTCAAGAGTCGGCTGCCTGGAACTGGCCCGAAGTGACCTCGACCAAGCAATGCTAGTGAATTGCTCTCGCTGCGCTATGCTTATCGCTGACCTCTTGAGCCTTTCCCCACAAGGTGCTCATCGTGCTCGACCCTTGGCCGTCGTGGCCAGACCTGGTGAATCAATTCACTCGTCCGCCCGCTGGAAGGGTTGCTACCCTTGCGCATGGTCATCACCACGGTAGTGATGATGCGGGTGTGGGACCGGGAGGCCTCGCATTCTGCGCAGGTGACTTTTCGATGGCATTAACCTCAGCAGGGAAATCCACGCAGGGCGCTGCGTGGCCGCACTTGACTGTGTGTCTTCGTGCTCTTGCACAGGGTCGCGACAGTAGGTGCTGTAGCCGGTGGAGACTGGAGACGTTGCTCCTGAGGCACGCGAATTCACGGTGGACAAACTCGACTCGGCCATTCCGGCGGATCACAGACTTCTCCACTTTTCGGGCTGCTACTTTCAGTCCTCCAGCATGAGGTCTGCTGCCTTCGACTCCTCTCACAGAAAAGGGAAGGAATTCAGCTGCACACGAAGGCCTTTGAACGCAACCTTCTTGTCCAGGCCGGAGTCTGCCGGAGTCAAATCCTCCGGCAAAGCTGGCAAGCACGGCTGCCAAAGGAGAGTAAAATTAAAAGACAATGTCGACTTGTAGTTGCACCTCGCCGTCCGTCTGGCTTTGAATGCAAAGAAACTCCTTCCAGTCTCCTTGAAACCTTCACTGCATGCGTGCGTCTGGTTCTACGAAGCTTTACTGGGCAGTCTCTGGGATCTCTGAGATGACCACTTGATGCCAAGTGGGTCTCTCGCAGAATATACCACAGCGCGTACCTAAGCAGAGTTGGTATGGCAACATTGCCTAGCCTCCATCTTGCAGCAGCAGACGCCCTCGGCGCGTGAACTCAGCATGTGACTCGCACACGGACTGCCGAACCCGGAGGCAAACCTGGAAGCAGCGTGGTTGCCTGCACAAATCAAGTGGTCGGAAGATGTCGTCGGCGAGCATGACTGAAGACTCGGAATGCGAGCAAGCAAGTGTTTGCAGGGCGATCGTCATCCCCACATGCTGAGTTCACGCAGTTTTACAGCAGCCTCCAGGTCCAAACGGCTCTGCCCACGCCTGCCCGAGCTCGACATCCAGCTTGCCGCTCCCACCACCTACGTGCACTCACGTTCACAACCACACAACCACAATGGGTTCAGCTCTAGGGCCGTGTCCCTCCAACCCAGGCGTTGACATTTTTAAAGATCAAAAGTTCTCGCAAATCTCGCAATCCAGACTGTCGCCGAGCAAAGCAGGCTGTGTATCTGACCTACAGTCACCTCGTCACAAGCGGCTCATGTTCATCGAAGACATCTCCACATGTCAAGTCTGCGAAGCTTGTCGGCCTGATTTCACCTTCTAGCGGTCCGTTGCTGCTCAAAGCTGTTCTCTTCACCCAATACGGGTGAGAACGCTCCAACATGGTTCAGTGGGAGCCAGGCCTTGAACTTGCCAGTCAAGGGTGTAGCGCGTTGCCTCTCCACTTCCCTAAACCCAACGCCTCTTCCTCAAAAAAAAACGGACTTCGGAGTTCTCGCCTCCTTTGCTGCCAGGCCTGGCCAGGAGAGCAGCAAGGCCTCATGGAAGGCCTGGTCCAAAAGCAAAGGGCAAGCAGAGGAACCAACTGCAGCACCATATGATCTCCACCCTGTCCTTCTCCAAGGTAAGGTCGGACCAGGATTGCACCAGGCGCCTTGCACTCGCCAAGACTCTCCGTTCTGTGTCTTAACGATGTTTTCGAAGAGTTGCATTTAGCAACATCTCTGCGGTCATAATTCTGGGAAAGTTCACGACAGACCTGACTCAATACGGTCCCATCAAGTGGCCCGGGATGGCGCGGGCCAACAAACTTGAATGCATGATGTCAGAGCGGGAACCCCGGCGTCCCAGATGGATCTTGCAAATGTACCTGACGAAGGAAGTCCAGCTTATTCCAGCTTCTGCGGTGCAAAGCTCGGAAATGCAACTTCGCAGCAAACTCTCATCTCGCCACTTTTTCTGACCAAGCCGAAGACCAGGATCAAGAATGCCGGTGATTTATAGCACACGGCGCGAAGCTACGCTTGCCCCGCTCGGCCGATCCGACTATACCCAAGGACGAGAAATGGCTGCCAGCGCGCCGCTCAACGGTGCTCAGCAGGCACGTCTCTTTTTTTACCTAGTACGGTGCCCCACAGACACAAACACTCACCAGTTGTCATTATTTCGTAGTCGACATGTTGCTTCATATCGAATCGAATCGAACAATCTAACTTCCCTGGTTCTATCTTTGTGAAACTGATGACATGGCATGCCTTCTTTCCGCATGCCGTAGCCTCGCAGGAGATAAAAAAAGCTGGATGCAGTCCTGAAGCATTCCAGCCTCTGCGAATCAGGCCACACAAAGGAGATTTTTGGCATCAAAGCCCGGTTGCAGCTGTCAGCTTCCGACGTCTGCACATGGGTGCAGACAGAACTGAAGGCCTAAAGGTGAGTTCCTTCAAGGAAATAGTCACCACCATGAAAAGTGTTGAAATCTTCTACGATCGTTCTTCGAGAGGCTCCCTGCCGATTAGCAGAAAGCTCCGACGGAAGAAGAAGAGGCGTCTTTTGCCCATGCCGAGGCATGCACAGCAGGGATTCACAGTAGAAAAAGACATCGGTAATCTTGGCAGAAGCTTGCACGGCACTGACTGCAAAAGGCACACAGGACGAACGACTTCAAGGAGCACAGCCCAGGTCTCTCGACAACTCAGGCGGGAGTATCAGGTGGTCTGCAAGGACACCTCCCAGGTAGGCCATTCTCTAAAGGAGCAGAATCTGAACTCTTCGGCCTTGGACGCCGCAAGCTGCTGCATCTCCCCCGTGTCAGCATCATTGAAGATGTCTTCCGTTGCCTGCGTGAAAGCAAAGCACTTGGAAAACCACCTGGACATAACTTCCATGCCTCATGGACAGTAACGTTCGTGAGCATCGTCTCTTCGCGAAGCACATCGCTCAAATCCTTGGGCCTGGCAAGGCGCTGGCTTTGACTTCAGCTTGTATCATCGGTATCCCAACTTGCCAGACTCGCTCGATTGCATTCAGCTTTTCGCAGAATCGGATGGCGTACCTGTCGAAAGACTCAAAGCCGATGGACTGTCAGAGGCTCAGAAAGGCCAGCAAGGGTCACATCTTGCAGAAACTCCAGGGCCTTATCTCTGCATGCATATAAGCCGGCGTACTGTGAGCGTAAACATGCATACAAACGTACCTTTAGAAGTAGATGGGCATGAATGCGCCGAAACTTAACAGTCTACCGAAGCCCATCAATGCGGAGAGCTGCAGACATGCACACAACAAGGGAAAGGAGGTAGGCACGGAACCTGAACAACACAGCTCTCAAGCCAACCCGTCAACTAAATCAACAATGATGTGACACAGGGCAGTCGCAACATACGTGGCTGAACACATACGTGGCCGCATGGGGGTCCACTGACCCGTATTGCCAATGCGTCCGGACCGATTTTTGTAGTTTTCGGAAGTGTCTCCTTCACCCCGATTCCGTGGCAAGTGCGGCACTTCTGTCGCAAAGGAATGTGCTTGCATTCGAAGAAATGACGCGAGCACAGGATCCAGAGGGGCGTCAAGACGCAATCAAAACGAATTGGCACACACTTGGGTGCCCGCAGGTGATGCAAGCGCATCTCTTTGGCGAAGACGTCGTTGCTGGCATACACCACACCGGTCATGTCTGCAGCAAATGCAACAATGACCGCAGCAGGCAGGGCCTGATGGCGATGAGCTCGCCTGGTGACAGCCTGTCATAATATCTGCTCACAACTCGGGAAACCGAGCTCTGCGACATGAATAGGGGCCGGACACTCTGCAGTCTCCCATGTGCCGCCATGACACCCACAAGGCAGCTTCCACAAACCAGTCCTGCCATGGGACCATGCTTCGAAGGCCGGGCAGAAGCCAAAAACGGGCTGCTCCTTCTGCAGCAATGGTGGGTCGAGGGCTTCGCGACCCAGCCGCATGTACCTCGCTGCTTCTCGGAGCAGAGTGGCTGGGCAATGACCACAGACTGGCCGCGAAGCATAATGGAGCGCACTCAAGCTCACCGTGCTTCACGAAGAGCATCTGCTTGCCTTCGTGACCTTTCTTCATGTGCTATCTGGACGAACAATACCTCATCGCCTCATCGACCGCAAACTCTGCTCAGCCTGCGGTGAAGACCACATCTGAAGACGCAAGGGCGATCTCCGTCAGAGCAAGATGGCACAGCCTGTGCATGATTACCTGGCGACGGAAACTGCAAAGACTTTTCCGAGCAATTTCCACCTTCTCTGCAAGTCAAAGCTCGACGGGAGGACCGGCATCTTTGAACTTAACACTTCAAAGAAGGGATGTGACATCAGCCATTGTATCATGATTTCATACCTCAAGCAAAGCTGCATGTGCTACAAGCTCATACTGTGGTGGGGTTAAGAAGGCGTGCAGCATGGCCTGGGGCCTGAGGTCAACACGACAACTCTTTCCGAAGGGGCTCAGAGAGCTGATCCAAGATCACCACGCTACCTGATTCTTTCGCTCCAAGTTGACCCAGTCGAGAGGCTCCTGGACTCCCAGTTTGAGGAGCCGGCTGCTATGCACCAGATCGTGCTCTTTCTGAGTCTGACAGGGGCATTGAGAATGCAGCAGAAACGTGCTCTGAGGAGCAGCTTTGGCTCTCCGATTTAGAATCTTTCACTGTCGGCAGCATACCGAGCCCAAGCCTTGTACTCCAAAAACTTGGTAATTCGGAGCTGCCTGAATCTTAAGCTGTTGATTGAGAAGCAATGGGTGCAGAGACAGTTGCATCTGATCTGGGCAGATGTCACTGATGCTACTGAGTGCTACTGAGCTCATGGCAAGTCTCGGCGAATGCAGCGCTGCTTCAGGTAGCGTCGGAGCATCCAGAACTGCTTCATCTGAGCACCCTGCGACAGATCAACTGGTGTAACCAACTCACGCAGGAAACACTTATACCAAAGTCCAGTGGAATGGCCGGGATTCAGGCGCGAAGGTTTTGCAGATGCGACATGGAAGCCTAGACAGAGTGGATCAAACCAGGCTCCCTGGCATCTTTCCGCATGTCGTCAGCTCCAGACGGTGATATGCCCGACGATGGACGAGAAGGCCACCTGCCCAGCGCAAAGTGTCATGCGAACTGTGCCAAGAAAGCAAGATGGCAAAGCACCCCGCCATCGCAAAGAAAAGGACACAAATGGACATGATCCGCTCCATTGTATTGGCTGCAGAAACATTCATCCTCGGCGCATCCCAAGGCTAGCACACAATCACTGCCTTTCTGTCGCTCGAAGTCTCTTGGCTGCAGACGAAGCTGGGGTGAACTGCGTCAAGCTCCTCGCATGAAGTTGAACACGCGGTAAACAGCACTCCAAGCATCTTCCCGGCTTGGACATCGAACATATCGAACATCGACAGGAGGGTAGAGGTCTTTTTTTGCAGTGTCCGCGGGAGTGGCCGGGGGCCGCGCGCCGCGTAGCCGCGCGGGCCGAGAAGCCCCAAACCGCAAAAGAGATGTTGGTTGATCCAAGACTTGCAAAGAAGCCCCTGAGGACAAACCCAAAAAGGAGATGCGGAAACCTTAAACAAAAGGAATGGTTGGGAAACCCCAAACCCTAAAAGGAGATGTTGGTTGATCCAAAGTCTGCAAAGAAGCTGCTATGGACAAACACCCCAAACAAAAGGAATTAAAAAAAAAAACGAACCCTAAAAGCAGATGTTGGTTGTCCCAAAGCCTGCAAAGAAGCCGCTATGAAAAATCCCCAAACCCTGAAAGGAGATGCTGAAACCCTAAACACTTGGGACACCGCAGACCCTACAAGGAGATGTTGGTTGATCCAAACAAAGCTTTCAAAGAAGCTGCTATGGACAAACCCCAAGCCCGAAAAGGAGATGCTGGAACCCCAAACAGAACCAATGGTTGGGAAACCCCAAACCTGCGGCCCGCGGCGGTGGGTTGTGGGCCGGGGGGGAGCGTCCCAAGTCGTAAAAGAGATGTTGGTTGACTCAAAGCCTGCAAAAAAGCTGCTACTGACAAACCCCCCACCCTCAAAGGAGATGCTGAAACCTTAAACGAAAGGAATGGTTGGGAAACCCCAAACCCTAAAAGGAGATGGTGAAACCCTAACAGGAGATGCTGAAACCCCAAACAAAAGGAATGATGGGGACACCCCAACCCCTAAAAGGAGATGCTGACACCCTAAACAAAAGGAATGGTTGGAAAACCCAAACCCGAAAAGGAGATGGTGGTTGATCCAAGGCCGCGTGGCCGCGGCCCGCGCGTACATAATACTATCGTGCGACAGCGTTGCAAAGCTGCTTCACCGGCGTCGACACATCCTCTACTGCCACGTAACTCTCGCTATGCCACTATGAGATGAAGCAGAGCAGTGAAGACACACATGTGATGGAGAGGAAAAGCCCCGAATCCCGTTTAGGGCAGACTCCCTTGGCGCTGCAGCGTCTCTTGCCACACGAGTCAACCGAATCTGCTGGGCAACTCTGTCCACCGAGTTAGCAAAACACTTTCGACACAAACTCGACCAAGGCTCAGAACTACCACCATGCCCCCTGGTCACGCACCAAACGCAGCAGTCGTGTATGGGGAAACAAGGGTGTCCAGTGTGTGGACTTCATGCTGACACTGCCCAGCGGACTAGTGCCCCAAACTCTGTCCAGCGAGATCTTGTACGATTCCTGCCGTCCGCATAGGCTACAGGTGCGAGTCACAGGAGCTTCGACTTCAGGAGTCGATTGCCTGAAAAGCTTCTTGGCGACACCAGGCACTTTGCAGTGTGCTGCCTGCTGGCCGCGTCTGGTCTGAGCAGCAGAATCTTGTTCCCGCAACCCTGCCCGCTTGGCACAGAGTCCCTGCTCAAGAGTCCGCCTCCGATGAACGAATCATATGTCATCTGAAAGAACTGAACAGCTCATCACGACAAAGGCTCAAGGTAGCAGCGGTGGACACAAAAGGACCTTCCTGTGGTACATCCCTTGCTATGGAACCGCTCTCCCATGACGTGACGAGACAACTTGCATTCCAGTTATTCGTGAGGGAACGACAGATCGCAAGAGTGCCACCTTCTGTGCAACGACACACCATGATCTGGTGGCTCATGTACAGCCGGAATTTCAGACATGCTCGTCTCTGGAGAAATCTGGGATCGGCACCAATGCAGTGAAGTGAAGTACATGTAGATGCTGTCGTTCGGATAGTGCCCGCCTAGTGCACAGTTCACAGGCGCACAGAGACAAGCAGGTAGCCAATCACTCGACGTCTCGGCAGCTGACTCATTTCGAACCAGCTGTACTGTCCCATGCTTGCACCTGTCTTCCCAACCAGATACCTGGCAGCAGCAACATGTTGACAAAGCACTGTGCTCGATTGACTTGGTGACCTCAGAGTAGAGGTGAGCAAGAACGGGGATGAAATGGAAAACACACAAAACATGAGGGGGCACCATACGCATGCGATGACATGATTGAGGACCTCGGCGGAAAAGGCTCATTGCCAAGCTTCGACTGAACCGTGCTTGAGGCAGCAGCCAACACGGCAAACAAAAGCTTCAGAAGGTTGATGATGGTGAAGGCATACCTCCCAAATCACAGACCGTCTCTTCAGTCACTGAAGTCGCGTAGGCCACGGCCGCGGCGCACTCGCTCTCCACCAGCTCCAGCAGGGCATCGACGATACGTCGCAGCTTGAAAAGCCGGAGCAATCGGAGCACTCCTGGAGAGGACTCACGTGGCCTGCAGTCGCAGATGGGAAGCACTGAGGCATGGGCGCATGGCTCGACCTAGACGTAAGATTCGGCCGATGCCAACGCCATCCAAGCCGAACTGGAGGGAAAAGGCACGCGAAAACGGCTTCATGGGATCACAACAAATATCAGAAGGAATCTTGGGAACTGGCTGCATCAGGCGACATTGATGTGAACCATTCCGGCCTCTGACATATGCTGTTGATGGACCCAGCCTTCTCGAGCTGATATGCAGGCGCACCCGACGACTAGCAGGTCGAGCCAGAACCAGCTTCTCAGATAGTTCTTGACTATTCGCCTGTCACATCGAGAGCCGGGAAAGGCGACGAGCGCAGAAGACCATCACGCGGGGTCGGGCCTTGGATCCATGACCTTTACGCCTTCCTGGAAGTATCCCGTGAAGAAGGATTGGAACATGTCGAGGGTCCTCGGTCGGGTGGTTACTGGCCAACAGGTTGTCAAAGGACTTTGCATGACGAGGCAAGCGCCAGAAGAAGAGTGTTACCCAGTCCATAGTTACGGACCATTGATCTGCAGATGCACATGAGCGCACAGATAGCACAAAGCTGCTCACGGGGCGCTGTCATCCTGGCCTCTGCTTATCTCGAAAACTTGCAGAGGGATGGTGACTGTGTCGTACAGGATGAGCAACAGTCCTGCCAAAGGTCGCTACAGTCTGCTGCGAGATGATGAAGACCGCGCTACCCTAGCACACACAAATACGCACGGTGTCCTAGCAGGTCCCAGAACATCCGGTAGGTGCCACTGGGAGAGATGATGCCTGGATCTCACAAGCTCAAAGAGTCCCCTCTTTGGGCCTTGCAATCCTGGCCTGGCTTGCATTGCTTCGCTGCAATGGCCAGGGCGCGTTTCCATCTCTCCTGGTCTGCTATGGTCTACATCTGACCTGGTGACTGTGGCTAGGGCAGTCAGGGCAACTCCTCGCTGGCCACATTTGCCAAATTCATCAGCTCACCTGCCACGTTGAGGTTAGAGGACCTTCGACCGGCGGTGCTCCAACATGCCGGGAGGCACGACGTGATCCTCTCATCAGTCTGAGGGGGCTTGTTGGCGCCCTTTCGCCACTGTCCCTGTCCATCCTGCGAAATAGGTTTGGAACCATGCCTAAGCCTAAGCCCCATCCCTGTCCTGGCTCCCTTCATGGCTGCAAAGTAGTGCTGGAAGCCACTGCCTCAGAACTGCGAAGCCCTGTAAAAAGTAAACTGTAAAGTACATGTCTTGCTCTGCATCCGTGGTGAACCGAATTTCCTCGCTCGCAAGAGCTCTGCCATGCACTGGATGGCACAGCCACGAGCTTACTGCGACTGCATCTTGCTGACGGGCCTCTTGCAGCAAAGTCCCGAAATAGAGCTCAGACGCGCGCCGACGTCATTTTCGGTGTCCAAATAGTCCGTCCACACTGCCTTTATGGACAAAGGACGTAAGTATCAAGAGATCGAAGGACGAGCAGCCAAGTCAAGCTCTCTGCAGGACAACAGGTATCTACTGGTAGCACAGCTTGGCCCCAGCTCGGCCTTGAGGTTAAAGCCGTCATGGTTGCTATCCGTAGCCTGTACGGTTGGGCTATATCGGTTACAGAGACGAGCGGTCCAAGCGGCATGGTCTCAGGCCTGCATAAGCGCATCAATGTCTGTCTTGGCTCGCCGGAAACCTTGAGGATCTCTGCTTGTCCTGTCGAGTCTGGTTGGAGGCTTCTGAAGACTGGACATCTCAGGCCTTAAGAATGCAGCCTACAGCAAGTCATGGTGCTCGTCTATTAGGTGTGCCTGGTTTACGGGCCGTTGCCACTGCTTGACAAGGCAGTTCCTATCCATTTCCCAAAACCGACGATGAGCTGCAACCTCTCGATTTCAAAGAGCTCTTCATGTCTCGAAAAATTCGACTAGTCTCGAGGCAGCATGCCCCAGCTACGTAGTTTAAGATGCTCCACGACACATGCGCCTGCATGGAACCACAGCTTCAGGCCCGGAGCACAACAAGGCACATCGTCTGGTCCAAAGCGTGTCGCATGTGCAAGCGGCCCACGACAGCAGAAACACACACTCCATTGCTTAGGCTCGGCCTGAACCGCGATGCTGCCGACAGGGCATCTGATGCTTCCAAGTCATGGGGGAACGTCATATTTGTTGGCACCTGACGGCGTGCTTCTTTCCGATCGTGGCTGTTCACTTGCAGCAGGGATAAGGCACCTTTCGCTGGTTCCTCAATCTGCTGTGCGCATCCGGAGAGCCAGCTCCTGCAGCACACGGCACATAATCGATGGCTACATACGAAAAATACTCTGTCTGTGGGGGTTCAATGCACTTCGCTATGGCTGTCGCCTGTGGACGGTGGCGGCGTCGTAATCTCATGGGACCAAAGCTCCTCCACATGCTGATCAACGTCGAATCTGCCCAGCCAGCCCTTGCGCATTGTTGAAAAATCATCAGCCGGTGCCTTTGGTACACTTGGTTCGCCTGCATCCTCGCTACAAGGTCTCCTGCCATGGCAAGGGCTTGGAGCCATCGGCAAGTTCTGGGCTAGATTCGTGACTAGACATGCTGGTAAACGGAGCCTCAGACTGTAAGGCTTCGGCATGTGAAGCTCGCATATCTCTTGGTGCAACTGTTGGTTCGCCTGGTTCATTCGCGCACAGCATTTGCAGCCTTGCTGCAATTGCCAGCGCTCTGCTTTCAGCATTGCAGCGCAACGGAAGGCAACAGAACTGCGCCTCTCGCAGCTCGCTGACACGCAGGCGGTGTTCAGAAAGGAGCTCTTGTAGGAGCTCCTCACAGCAGAGCGACTTGAAAACGGGCTCCCGGAGCCCCTTCACTGAAGGAGGCCGCTGAATCCTGGAAGCGGTCTGAGGTGTCCAAGGAGAGCGACTCCTCGCTTTTCCGACCCGGGCCCGGGCCTGTCGGCAGCGGACAAGGACAGACTGCGGGGAAGCGACGCATCAGCTGCCTTCGATGTCGAGTTCTCCATCTTCCATCGCTAAGCTGAAGGCTGCACCTCTTGCTGAACGCGGAAGTTTGGGAGCGTGCAAGTGTTCTGCAGGCTAAGGGCCGGGCCCTAAACCGCCCCAAGTGGCTACGGTACCAATTGGACAAGCTGGTGCGAGCCACTTTTGCGGACGTGCGGTTGCAAAATAAATGGAAACAAGAGATTCTGGCAGCACCCCGGATGCCACAACGCCACCATCGCCAAACAAAAAAAACTGTGCATGCAGCACGCGGGCTGACCCACTGGCTTGTTGTGGATGCCTGTGCTGGCAGGCTGTAGGATGGGACAAGCATACAGCACGCCAGCGCGCTGCCTCGATCTTCATCCACTCGCCAACGGGATACCCCAGCACAGCAGCACCAGGCTTCAAGGCGCCAACCTCAGAAAACAACAAGAAATCACGGGGTCGATTTTGTCACGCTTCCTCTGGGCAATGCAGAGGAGGCCTGTGCTTCTTCGGAGGAGGGCTTCGCCCGAATCGGAAGGTCAGCGCTACCAACCACGCTGAACTGGATCGGCACTCCCAGGACAGACCTGCTCTGGCTTCGACATTACATCCGATTCAGAGGACGCTTTTTCGCTCCGCCTGGTGTCTCTAGCAGCCTGCTCCATCTCAGCCATCTGGCCAGCCTGGATCCGTCTGCATGCACAGCGTTGTACAGCCTGCTGGATCGTGAGTGTCAGTGTACCTTTTGCCAGATCTGGGCTCAGGGCTTTCGCAGATGACCGTGCACTTGAGCCTTTCTGCAAGGGGTCCGCGGAAGCCGGGGTTATAAGTTACATCCTTGGCCTGCGTTGGCTTTGGTCACAGGGACATCCTGCTTTGTGCCCTGGGCACGACCAGCCTCAAGGTTGGAAGAGCTCTCCTGTGCAGTGCATGCCTTGTGCAGCGCGGCTTCCACGGCCGTCTCGTTGACTTCCTGCATCAGCTGGCCAAGCCTCGCAGTTCGCGATCGCAAGACAAAGCCCGTGCAAACGCGCGTCAGAGCTCCGAGCCCAACTTCGGCGCCGTGAATCAGAATCCATGAATCCTGCGATGAATGGGTTAATTAAAAGCTGTGATATGTCGCTGTCATGCTCGTGACATGTCATGGGTCGATTGAACTTCTGCTCCGATGCTTCGCTACCTTCTTCCTGCTGGGCTTAGGGATCCCTCATCCGTTCGTGACAGGGCTTGGGGCTTCGGAAGCCGGTCAGCCAGCCTTGAACTGCGGCCTGGCCCTTGGATCCCAGAGTACAAAACCATTGCAAAGAGACCAGGCCACTTGTGTAAGGAGTTTTGTTCCAGAGTTTGTGCAGAACACTAAACGCCCTGTGGCTCCCAGTCCCGAATCTCTTTGGAGACGTCTAGCGAGCTGGTCCGGCTCAACTGCAGCCAGCCTTGGCGGAGCACTTCTGCAAGTGGCAAGCGGCATGGACAAGCTGCTTGCTCTTGCCTGAACGTTGCCATCCTCGGACACGTTCTCCTGATTTGAGAACACCCAGCGTCCTCGTGCAGAGCTGACAGGGACTGACAGGGTTCAACCCAGTTTCTCCCTCCCTAGGGCCTGCCCTTCACGCTGGCACGGTCACGGACAAAGACCATTGCGTGCACCACCTGCACAACAGCTTCCCTGTAGCCTGATACCACACTCATAAGACCAGAAGAAGTGGCCACGTGTTTTGCAAGGCAAATGCCTGAAACGTTCTTAAGTTCTCATCATCCTCGGGAGGCCCGCCAGAGTTGGGCTCAGACAGCTTCGCGACCTGCACCACTTTTGCAGCTCTGCCTCGGCGTGACGCCGAGACAGACGCCTCGATACGTTCGTGCGCTTCGAAGGACTTGCCGCAGCGCACACAAATCGCTTTGTGTACCAGGAAGTTAGCATTGGCACCGACCGATGCCATCGCATCCAAATCTGCTACGTAGCCACGGCATTGGCTGCCTTCGCACCCTCCACGAGCAGCACCAAAGGGATCGATGCTTCTCGCTGGCTCTGCCTCCTCCTCTTCAGTTAGAGGGCTGCCCGTTGTAAAATCTTGCCAAGGACCCATCAGCCGAAAATCCGCTTGCCCTGCGCTTTGCGCAGCCACGCGAACTCCAGCTCGCAGCTGGACTGCAGCGCCCGGAGGCAACCCATGCAGGGTAGCACCTGAGCTTTTGCTGAAGACTGTCAAGCCTATGTAGGATCTGGCAAAGTGTTACATCGATGAAGTTTACAGTTTACAGTTTAGGGCAAGTATGTCAGTGCCCGCCATGGCACGTGGCTGGAGACTCAGCGCGTACCCACTCTTCTTGAAGTCTTGCCCGTCTCCTGCGCCGATAGGTAGCTCCTCGCCCGGAGTAAGCCTCCATTCGATGCTGTAGGCTGCAACATATGGGGGCTTGGGGGCTGCAAGACCTGGCCAGCTCACCACCAAGGCTTCACTGAAGACTTCCTCAGCTTGCAGCTGTGCCCAGGCCGGACTCAGGAAAACCTCCTTTGCAGAACCAGCACTTTTGATCGGAGCCCAACACTCGCCTCCAGCGTCTGCTGACGCTACCCGAATCCAGCTGGCATTGCCAGGAAACCCCGTGACCGTCTGTCCCGCACGAAATAATCCTCCTGGTGCAGGCAATGCCTGTGGTGCCGGCTCGCAATATGCTGGCGTTTCAACTACCACGGTATATTCAAGAGGTCTGGCCAGAACCTCCTCTGCAACCGCAGCAGCACGGCGTATGGCTGCTTGGCGAGCCTTCTGAGCAGGCCCTGCTTTTTTGGTCGCTTCGCCGGGCTCAGGCTGGGGCGGCTGGGGTCGAGGCTCCGAGCCCGGTGCCGCTTCCGCGGAACCTTCCGCTTCTGCGGCTGCTTCCAGAGGCACCTCTTCCATAAGAGCTCCCAGGCCCCAGTCCTTGCCGTCCACCAGCGCGTACAGGGGGCCCTCCACCGCTTCGTTTTGCGAGTCTTTCTCAACCTGGAGCCACTCACCGCTCAGAACTCCGAACACGCGTTGCCCAAACGCCAGCCGACCTTTCGACGCACACTCACTGCTTCGACCGTCACGAAGGAAAACGCCGCCACGATGCACTACCTGAAACCAGGAGCTGTGCCCAGGCTGCATCGTCTTTGCTTCATCTCCCGTGCCTGAGCTCTCGTGACTGCCTTTGGAAGGCTCCGTCGCAGCATCAGAGCTCCCGCTGATCTTCTCAGCTGGAGCAAGGCTCTCAGACTCCTTCGGGCAGGCGGCTTCGTCTTCCACCGCTTCTGCCGGTTCCGCATCCGGAGAACTGATAGGGAGTTCAGCTTCAGTTTCCAGCTGCGCCTCCTGGGCCTCGGCCGTCTCAGACACCTGCACCTCTGGCGGCTCCGGCGGCGGCTGCTCCACCACAAAGTCAGACTGCCAGGGGCTCGTGATGTGCAAACTCCTCTCTTGGTCATTCACGAAGGCACCTCTGCTTCGGCGCCAGACTCGACAAACCCAACACGCCCCCCAAGAGCCCAGAAATGGCCCACGACTCTTACATCACCGTGACATCCCATCTGAGTCCGCGGCTTATCCGAAACTGTACGTCCGCAGGACATGTCACGAGTGTACACTCCTCAGCATTCAGAATTTCAAAAACCGAGCGCCCTGCTTAAGATGGCACCCCCCCTAAAAAAAACAAAGCCAAGCCAAGGAACAGGGCGAGGAGTCAAACCGCAGCCCAGTGCTATGTCTGCGCCGCGCTTGATCCACTCCAGAGCGTAGTAGACCGTACTCAAAGGAGAAACTGCCAGACCTGGCCAGCTGAGGTGCAGGACACCCGAGGGCGTCTGGGAGACTTTCAGTCGACTCCAGGACGCCTCAAGCACCGGACGTCCAGGATCTTGAAACACCCAGTGTGAGATGAACTCAGTCTTGGTCTCCGAGGCCACGAGGCGAATCCAATGGTGATGACTTGGATAGCCAACCAATCCTTCTCCCTGGCTGATTGCCATTCCATGCATGTTTTCCCCGAGTTCTGATGGACTGGGATAGCACTGAAACTCGTGCATCGCTCGATACTCGATGCCTTGCCCAAGCAATTTCTCCGCTTGCCGGGATGAGTGCTCCATGCCATCGGTCTCGTCCTCCGTGGTCCTGGCTTCCTTCTCGACCAAGCTCTCTACGGAGATCCAGGCTTCACCGCCCAAGAGCAGCTGCTCCTTGCTCTCCTCGTCCAGCTTCAGCCAGCCAGATTTCAAGCCTCACAGTCGGAGCGGGAGCCAAGGCTTGAACGATTCACGGAAAATCCTCTTATCATGGACTGTATCTGCTCTGACTGAGTCGCATCCAGATACCACGGTGCCTGAGTCCAAAAGTCCTGCACACATCAACAAGACAGCTCGCGCATGGCGCGTTGACAAAACCTCGCACCTCTTGAAGAAGCCGATACGGATGGTGCAGACAGTATGTTGATTGCTGTCGGCGAGAAGAACACCTTTGAAAACCGACCCCAGGATGCACATAGCGGCATAGCAGTCTTGATATCATCTCTTGCTTGAGTCCGCTCTTCTGACGAGGTCCCGACCTTCTCCACAACACTTTCTTGCTCCGGCTGCACGGATGCCTGTGTTGGCATGCCATACCAATCACATGCGGTCTAGTGCAGCCACTATCCATCCAATACATGATTCTTGCAGGAAGAAGCAGGGGCGTGATCGTGCTGACGGAAACGTGGCGCTCTCTATCCCTCACAGAGCCGAACCGCAATTGTTGGCGTGCTGTACACGGCCGGTCTGCTAAAGCAGCATTATCAGCGGGGAAGTGGTGGAAGTCGGCTTCCGACGTTGGCCCTTACTTGTCGTTAGTTCTCTTGCGCACGAGCGCAAGCCGTCAAGCTATCAGCCTGCGGCCTTGTCTGTCCTGCATGTATTATATAGCAAATGTAGCATCGGCCTTGTTTGTACACTCCAAACGGGACTGACAATGATAAAATGGTCCTGTTCACAACGACTGCATCTCAGCAAGTACGGGCTCACCGGTTCCTCCGAGGATATGATCTGGGCACCGGTGAAGTCCTCCATGCCCTGCGCAGATTTTCTAGGGCCATCGAGAAGCTTTCTTGCTCAAGGCCTCGACCATGTCGGCTTGGACCTCCTGAGGCTCATCTTCGCCTCGGAGACCAGACCCGTCACGGGAAGTGGTTAAGGTTTCTGGGTGCACCATCTTCGGCTTCCAGGAAGTCTTCCCAACAGGCATTGTCATCCACATCCTTCATACTCAGACCCTCCTCTGCACTCTTCCCTCGAGAATTTCACTTTGATTCCGGTCCTCCTGGCAACGTCCATCTGCCTCTGTGCTTGCCTCTGCTTCCGTGGGATCCTGCATGAGCAGACGCTTTATTCAGCACAGGGCCCGATACATGCCGCTCACTACAGAGATGCATCTCGGGCCTTCTCTGGCGCAAGCTCCTCCCCCATCCTGTCATCATCCTGTTCCTCTGCGCACAAACCGCGGAGGGAGCTCAGTTTCGCTTGTCAGATTTGCACAGCATGCTTCCCCTTCAAACCTCTTCCGCTTCCATATCGCTGGCGTTCTCAACATCTGCCGACTGGACAGATTCAACCTTGGTCCGTCTGAAGCTTTGCATGCACGTCCCGTCTCACATCATACTAGCGCAAGGACAGAAGCCTCCTCCTGGTCCTGCCCCTCCTCCTGCTGCACGAAGCCGTCAGGGTCAGAGGCATCGGGCTGGTTCTTCGCCTTGCAGCCGACAATCGCTCGACAACTCTGTGATGCAAGGCTCTCTGATGACCTCGGAAGCTTCTTGCTCCACGCCCGCATCTGGCGAGACTTCTCGTGACAACGAAGCAAGGTCCCGTATCACAAGTGGCCACAGCCAAAGAGGCCTGCAGAGATCTGCTGCTCCTCATACGAAAGAGAGCCAATATGAAACTACATCGCGATGGCAACGACTACAAGCATCTGCGATTGCTCACCGCGCCCTCCTTGACTGGAACAGGCTCTCCTTCGAGCTCTATGTGCTCCTGCAGAGGAGCCAACAAGTCACGACACTCGCCGCAGACTCTTCGGTTCACGCCAGTGCACCGCAACTGCATAACAAACAGAACGCTCCTCATACGAGCAGCCGCAGCGGCGACATTGCTCAGCATGTGTTGAGTGCAGCGTAGTCGCAGCCAAGAAGCCTGCTAGCAATCGTAGAGCAAGTTCGCTGAGGGAAGGTCATGCTGTCGTCCCCTGTTAAGGGTGGCTCCGCTGCACGAGGATCGCAGGCATCCACCTCGGTAGCCTGCAACAAGTGTTCAAGCTGGAGATGGTTCAACATCGTTGCAGATTCGTGCTCTCCGAGCCTCCAAGAAGGTCACGATCTCCAAGAGCCTCACATCAACAAGCTCATAGGAGCGATGAGGGTCAAACCTTCCGTCCTTCACATCTTCTCCAGGCAGCGGCGAGGCCGTCCGAATCTCCGTCCTGCCGCCGGGCCGCATGAAACTCTCTCTGCAGTTGAGATTTCGAGATCAGGAGCTCCAGGGACCCAGTATCTCCAGCTCCACGAAGTCGATTTGTGGCCCTGTCACGCTGGCAAGAACTCGAACCTGCATCAATGTATGCCACGTCTGCCACGTCTAAGGCACTTCTGTGCTGCTGTCCACAAATGGTGCCTGGATGCACGTGGCCTGGGGCAGGCCGTGCACCAACGCACGTGACGATGTGCACCTCGTCCCCCGAAGGCCAAAAGGACTAGAGATGACTACAGAACAGATAGGCGGAAAAAGGCGGATAGGCTCGACCCGGGGCTCGCACTCCAAGTCCCCCGGCCTCGGACCGTCCTTGCAGCGCAGCACCACATCTCTTTCCTCCCTGATGGAATCTTCCCTGAAGCGCTGCAGCCCTGGACCTCCGTCTGCATCTCCTCGGGCCGACAAGCGACTTTGTGCGAGCCCATGCTCTGAGAGAATTGCCAACTTCTCAGGATGCTTTTGCTGGCCAGGAGGATGTCCAGCCAAAAGACTTAAAAGACAATCCTATCTACACATCATGACGCCCGGGTTTGTCCTTGGGCAACCCGGGCACATGACACCATATGGGATGCCGTCGCATGAGACTGCCAGCACGACTTGTCCCATCTGTCCGTGTTCAAAACCATGGCGGGAATTCGCACTTGCTGTGCTCTCTAAAGGTAAACCTACGGAGTGAGACCGAGTGTCTCGAGATGGAAGTTGTAAGGAGCATCTTTTTGATGTAAGGTAGAAAACCGTCCCAGACTATAACTCTCGGGATCGAGATCTGGCTCGCGTCCAGCAATGAGGTCTGCCACAAGCTGTCCACTTCCGGCTGCATGTGTCCAGCCTTCGCAGGAAGGCTCTTTTGCATCAAATGGCCTAAAACTCAGTGTCACATGCTACTAACATGGCTTGTGTTGACGGTTGCTGACCTTTAGAACCATGCCCTGTGTTCAAGAAGAAGTTCGGCTTCGCTTCGCCGATGATGGGGACATCATCGGCACTGAGAGGACGCAGGCCAGTGTGGTACTCAGCTCGGTCCCAATCCAAACCTTGCTTGACATGACAGACAAACAAGTCGCAGCTCCTGTTAAATCTCACGCTCCAGTCGAGCCGGCCATCGACCTCCCTCTCAATACACTAGAGAAATTAACAGACGTGCATGTGTTAACACCGCACGACCGAAGCCTTTACAAACCCACGGCGCAATCCACAATACATCAACAGATAGGAGAGCTTAAGCAAACTCCTGCACGATATCCATCAGACAGCTATAACCACTTGCACGACGGGTTGTTCCAAGTACAGTACCCCAGCTCCACGACGTCAGATTTGATGCAAGGTGCAGTCTGGCAAAAGCTTCTCTGCTTGCATCGCCAAGATGGTCGCCCGATCAAGGTCAACGGAACAATCGAACCCTGCAAATTCAGCGAATCCAGTAATTCGAACCAAATCAGGGCCCAAAGGTGCAAGGTACAGCTTGCTTGAATCCTGGACGACGTTGGAAGAGAGCTGCTGGACTCCAGGCTTCAGTGGGACCGTGATGGCATATCCCTTTACAGGAGCCATCGGCAATCGTAGGCCAAGCATGGCCGCCAATACAGGGCTGCCAACACCGGCACAAAGAATTACATTCCTTGTCCGAATGGGTTTCTGCTCTCGCAACACGACCTCCCACAGCCCACTCTTCTCTTGAAAACCTTGCACGGCAGAATCGTACTCGAAGCCAACACCGAGCTCTTGGCATTGACGCTCTAGGAAGTGAGTGAATTTCGCGCAATCCCCGTTGGTATCAAGAGGTGAGTAGAGGTAGAGTGCCTCGAGGCCCTGCCGCCGCAGCCTTTCGGCGAGGTTGTCGCTAGCGCCCTCCATGTTCTCGTCCCGGACCACATTTAGTGGAACCCCGGCGTGCTGGATCTGCTCAGACGCATCCAGACATGCCTGCAAGGCTGCCTTGTCCTCAAAGACCTTGGGGGGGCGGATCTGCAGTAAAAGTGCTGCTTTCTTAGTTTGCCTTTGCCCTCCGGGCCTGAAGGGTCCCTTTTGCCTTCCGATCCATGTAACCGTTCAGCTCCTGGTGGCTCCGGAGCAGACCCTCCAAGCAGTGCCGGGAGTAGCGCGCCAGGTTCGCCAGACGTCTCGTGGTCCTCTTGCCATGACCTGGCCGACAGGATGCCAGGTAGTGCAGCCCAAAGAAATAAGTATCGGAAGATAAGAGGGCTCTGGGATGGACTTTCAGTGGATGCCCAGGCTGATAGAAGGACTTGAAGACCTTCGGGATCAGTTGAGGCCCAGTCCAGGGCAGCCTTAGGCAAGCTTTGCGTCTGAGGAGTGCTTTGGGGCTTAGGGCTTAGTGGTGATTTGGGGCGAACAAAAGGGCCGCTTTGGGCTTCATGGCTTTCACCAAGCAACATCAGGGATGGGCAGATGAGGGTGCCATTGATCCAGCTGGAGCCTTGGGCAGGGCCGGAGCTCTGATCCAAGACCTTCACGCGGCGACCCTGTCTCGCCAGGCTGTAGGCTGTGCAGATTCCGACAACGCCGGCGCCGATCACAAGATCCTCACACTCCTCACGCTCCGCCGACAAGCTTCCAAGTTGGCGAACAAGGACATGACGTTGTCGGTGGGGCCGTCGTATGAGGCCATGCAGTAGGTTCATCATGGCGGCCACCGCTAGCCGCTACCAACACGGACAAGTGAGGCCAAGACAAGAGACAAGAGATGTGGAAGTTGATAGAGAGTCGCAGCAAAATCACAGCACAATACGTGGCCATTGCACACAGAGCTCAGCCCAGGGCCTCCTGGACACCCTGGACTGGTTCCGCCTGCCAGGTTTGCTACCAGCATCTACCAGCCCGAGTTTCTGGGAATATGCATGTAGCATGCATGCATGTGTATGCGTATGCACGCGCATGTGTCTCTGTGTCTGTGTGCGCGCATATGCATATATGCGCTTCATACGCAGACACTATGCGCAGACTGGTTTCAAAATTGAACTGCCTGGCTCTCGTCGGGGACTCCATCTGCGCTGCTCCTGACAGTTTCCAGTTCCCCTCATTGGATGCCAGGAGTGGCCAAGTACAGCAACGCGTCCTCCATTGCACTGTGTATGTCACGAACTCGCCAGGAATTCCCGGCCATGAAAACTCGAGGGCCTGCAAGGCTGTCAGCCTAAGGCACGTCCGACAAATCGCGGCAGGCTCCTCCAGGTAGGCCATTTCCACGTCTATTTGTGCCCAGCCTTTCTTTCCAGGCTTTCAACCATGCGAGACGGGGCAACGCACCCAACACGGTGCGTTTGCACGTAACAGAGCTCCAAGCGAGGGAAGACTCGTCCACGCTTGGGGGCCTGAAGTGAGAGGCAAAGCAGGCACTAGGATGGGTGATGATGGGTGAGTTAGCAAGTCGCACCGCACTGTCTGCTAAGGGCTCGGGCACAAAGATCCAGGCGCACCTCATGCCCAAGCCATGTTGAGAAGGTCTTACCAACGGACACGGCACACGAGACACAAGGCCACTGCCCATACCTCTCGCAGGTCGGAATCCAACGCTCCCTGTTCCTGGCCAGTTCATGGATACGAACTCTTAGAGCCAAGCCAGCTCCGCTGGGTCCCAAAAAATAAAACAACGGAGCATGCACACTGAAATTTGCAATGCGATGGCAACTAATTTCCCACTAAGCTTGAATTTGTTGACATGCGCTTTAACAAGAATCCGCACCGTTTCATTCCAGACACCTGGCCGTGATGCCTATGTAGGTGTTGCCCATAATGTACGACAGTTTTCGCCCAGCGAAAAGAATTCTTCCGGCCCAAAGGCAATACTGCATTTCCACGGCCACTTCTTTCTAGGGACATAACGGCACTCCCGCGACGTGACATTAAAGACTCCTGCAACAAGCTTCAAATGGTGCCGGATTCCCACAAGAGAGACGGGTTTGGCGAGACTAAACTAAAGGCCGACCATAACACCCTTCGATAATTGCTCGGACGTGAAGCGTTCAACAACGGAGCCCGTCTCCGATTTCTTCGCCAATCGCCAACCAAGTGCGAAAATCTCCCTGTCCAGCACGATGGACAGTTGCCCCTGGAGCAAGAGCTATGCCGCCCGATCAAAACGATGACGATGACGAAAGTTTTTGTGTTGTCGTGCGCGAGCGACATCGTCTCTGCCGCCTCCCAATCGGGGCTAAACAGTGGTGGTTTGCCTAAAGGGTGCCTGCAGTTGCCAGCTGCAACATGTGCTGGGAAGCCACGCTTCCTGATGGCTTCTGAGCTGAGCCCTCATGATGCAATGCAGCTGGCGGAGATTGTCTTGACTTCTCTCTCGTCCCCGCAAGCAACGCCTGCAACCGTGCCACTTCCTGTCGGGTGAGGTGAAGCCAGTCACCTTGAGACTTTGGCTGTCGAGAATTGGGGAAGAAGAACATGTGACACCCCGGCCTGCAGGATAGCCCTGCACGGTGCCTGTAATCTTCAGCCTGAGTGATAGCTGTGGCATGGGGCGGTCCTTCCAGCACCACGTCGGTCAAAGGATCCGACCTCCCTACGTGATTGCCGCAGGGGGCATCGAAGATCTGCAGCTCCTGCTCTTTAAGACCGCAGGAACATCGACTACCACCCGAAGCCCACCACAAACCGGTAGCGAAAAGACGCAGTTCAGTTCAGCAGTTCGTTTGATCGGCTTAGCCTCGGCCTCCGCCTCTGTCTCGGCCTCGCCAGGAAGGCCGACCTGAAAGGACGGTGGAATGTTGCGAAACGAGTTGAGGGGACGAATGTACATGCTCGAGCCGGGCCACATCGTACTCCAGTGGTGCCTGAACGACCTTCCGGCACAGCATCCCAACCGCCATATGCTGAAACTATGATTTCACCGACATTCCTGAAGCTGAGTGGTCTGCGGTTTTGAGATTCCGAGCCAGCGTCTGAAACTTCGATTGGGTTTCTTGCGCCATGGCTGACCCTGATCAGTGGCATGTGCCCCCGCCTGTGTTCGCATGCACCGGGCAGTGCGGTACTCAAGTTTTCTGTCATCGAGGGTTCTGTCTGAAGAGACCATACTCGTGTTGAACCAGTGTTCTTCATTTTCGGGGTTGTGGAGTGTCCAGGTAGTCTTGGGGCCTTCAGTTGATGCTGCATGTCGCGCCGAGTCACTGAAGCTACACCTTGCTGGCTTCGGGCTCCGTGTCTAGGATGGAAATCTGGGGTCCAGAACATGCAGCATGTTGGGGGTGGGCTTGGGATGGGCTTGGGTTTGAAGCTTGCGTCTTTCACCTCGTTTCCCTGCATTTGGGCCACATGATTTGGCGCACAGTGATGGCATGCTCTCTCTGCTCTGCTCGCCTGTTAATTAAAGCTAAACTGCACCACACACAATCAGATTCCAACTTTGTGTCTGCTGATGTTGCTGCAGATTATGAATGTTGGTTGCTGTTGATGCAGCTGTGACTGAAGATGAAAGGCAAATGCAGATGAAGATGAAGATGAGGATGAGGAGGATGCGAACGAGGATGAAAATGAAGATGAAGATCAAGACGAAGATGAAGACGAAGATGTGAAAACAAAGATGAAGACGAAGATGAAAATGAAGATGTAGATGAAGATGAAGATGCAAATGAAGATGAGGATGACCATGAAGATGAAGATGAAGACGAAGATGAAGTTGAAGATGAAGACGCGGACGATGAAGATGAAGACGAAAATGAAGATGAAGAGGAATAGGAAAAGGAAGAGGAAGAGGAAGAGGGAAGGAAGCAGAAGAGGAAGAGGAAGAGGAAGACGAAAAGGATGAGGATGAGGATGAGGATGAGGAACAGGAGGCAGAAGAGGAAGAGGAAGCGGAAGCGGAAGCGGAAGGGGAAGGGGAAGAGAAAGAGAAAGATGAAGAGGAAGGAGGAAGCGGAAGGGGAAGCGGAAGAGGAGGAGGAAGAGGAAGGGGAAGCGGAAGAGGAAGAGAAAATAAAGAGGAAGAGAAAGCGAAAGACAAATAGAAACAGGAAGAGCGGAAGCGGAAGAGGAAGAGGGAAGGAAGCAGAAGAGGAGGTAAGAGGAAAGTGGAGAGGAAGACGAAGTTGAAGAGAGAAGTAAGACGAAGAGGAAAAGGAAGAGGAGGAGGAACATGAAGATAGATAGGGATGAATGATATTGATGGTGATGATGGTGATGACGAATCATGTTGATGGTGATGATGATGATGATGTTGAATGATGAATGATGAATGATGAAGAAAGAGTTTTACACCATGACAGTGATGACGTGGCAATCATGCTGAAAATGTGTCGACAACCGCTGTGTCGACAACCGCTCGAACGTTTTTCCATTATCAGATCCAGTACGGGTGTGCAAATTTCATCTTAAAAGTTTTGGTGAAGCCAGTATGCACTTACGACTGTGTTTTGCATTCCTAAGCACAGGTTTGATGGCACACGGATTACCCAAAATGCGGACACTTTGATTCTCTCAACAGGGTTGCATGAAACAGAATTGCGAAATAGACCGGCGGTGAAAAACACGAACGCTGTTGGATTCTGTAACTCTGACACGAAGGAGACGCCAACAAGCTGCCGTCTCATTGTGACGCGCCGTTAAGTGCCAAACCCAGACCCACACAGAACCAACTCAAAACGTCGAACCTCTTGCAAGCGAAAGAATTCGAAGCTCAGCGCAGCAAGTTGAAAGCTGGATCAAGATTGCAAGCCACCAAGAGCCGCATGGTAGAAGGTGAACATAGCCCTCAAGGGCTTGAAAGCTTTTACATGACGCCTTGAAGATTTGTGCTGGCAAAGACCTGGCGGAGGAAACGCATCTTTGGAAGGATTTATGCGCTTCCCCAAGCAGACTTAGCGTGCTTTTTACCCTTTCGGCAGCTTCCATGATTTCTTCTTCCAAGTTGAGCGCTGGACTCGGATTGCAAGGATTCGGTGAAGAAAAAAATGTGCATTCAAGAAAGAAAACAGAAAAACATCAGCAGCACAGAAATGAGAAAAACAAAAAAAATACGGAAACATAAATAGATAGGAACGCAAAAAAGACAAACAAAGAAAGGTCTTGGCTTGCCTTTTATGGCGGCAACACAAATAAAGTTTGCGGCAAGTTGGCTTCTTTAAGCACAGCGGGCATGTACAACTTCACGCGATGTTTGACGGACACGCGCATGTCTGGCATCCGACATGTGGTGTGCGGCGCGCACCAACCACGGAGTAGTCTTCTACGTGCGTGCCGCATTTTGCGTTCCACAGTATGCGGCATGAGTCTTAAACTCTACTGGATCACGGGTTGGTTCCAGCCATGGAAGTTGCTTGTTGTTGCCTTATGCCATTGCGTGCAGTCCGGCACGTTTTTTTGAGTTCTAGCTTGTGTGTCTTTGCAAGGTAATCCAGCTCTTTGCGCATTATAAAACTTTTCTGCCCACATCTGACTGACAAGGCACGCTAAGCTCAAGTCATGTTGTCCCGCTCTTGTTCATCAAGAAAGAAGTAGTTTGCTCCAGCAATCCAAAAAAAAGAGCTAGATTTTTGTTGAGCTCTCACATTTGTTTGTACATTGAAACATAACTTGCTTCAAGTCTGTCTCGTTGTGGACATTTCAAAACAGACTTGGTGGATGGGCCCAACATCTTCTTGCTGAATCGTCTAAAGCCTGAAATACAGCCGAAGCTTGTAGATTTCCAGAGTCCGTCTTGAAGTAGCTTGCTATTGTTGCTGGATGCTTGCCTGCAAGAATCTGCAATCGACTGGGTGAATCAGCAAAAAATGTGAAGCGTTCAGACATCCGTCCAGGCAGCCGGCTGAGCCTTCGATGATGCTAAAAAAGCACGTCTCGAAAAAGAAAACAATTTGGATGGTTTGAAAAACGATTTGTTGTTGCGCCGCCTCTCAAATGGTGCTTCTGGACAGAAAGAGCAGGTGTGGAAGAGCTTGTCCCAGTTCCGCATTGCAGTGAGCTTCTTCCTTGATTTTGAGGGAAGGTTGTTGTGAGAGGCTGCAGCGTAGACGTTAAATTTCGAAATTCGTTTACTTTTTTCTTGAAAAGCGGAGGCGTCGTGTGCGACCACTGCCGTTAAAACCCGAACGCGCTTTTAGACGCTTCGCTTTGGCTGGGTTTAAGAGGCGAGGGGCAAAGGCTCACACAGCACACGACTGACCAACAAGCTCAAGTCACACAGCACTTTCGCACACAGTTCTCTGCAACCAACTCTGTCACACCA